CCGCTTTGTGCCGCTCCCTCGCGGCGTGGGGGAGGGGCGGGGAGGGGGAGATTGGCAGTGTCCCAGGCTCCGGGGTCAGCCCTGCCTCAGGTGCTCCCTGCACTGGGCTCACCTCCGCGCACAGCCTCAGCCCGCACCCCTTGCTCAGACCCGGCTGGCCAGGCGCAGAGCAGGGCAGGGAAGCAGGAGAGCCCTTCCCAGAGGCGGCTGGCCCGGCCCCACCTTCAAATAATCATAATAAAGAAGAAATAAATCAAATTTAAAAAAAAAAATTAAGCTGCGACAGGGTTTCCAGCCCTGACTTGACGCCCGCTGGCTCTTTCTACAGCTGGCTGGGCATTTTTTACCCTGCAGGCCTGGCTGCATTTATGGCACGCACTACCCGGGTTGGTTATGCGATATACACAACGTAGCAGGGGCCTGAGGAGTGTGCCACAGCAGGGTTGGTGGAGAAGGACGCTGCTATGTTTGTACCCTGTCTACACACGTGCAGTTTGACTTGAAATCCCACTTGCTTTTCCTTATTCTCAATAGAGCCCATTAGAGGCAATCCCCAAATGGTGTGTGCGCGCACACAAAAAATCAGCCCATTTCTGCTCCCATTTCTACCCATTGCAAGCAATTACAACCCCCCCAGCTGCATCCAGATGAACACGGTCATGAGGTATGTGGGTCTGCGGCACCATACACAGCACATTCAGGGGTTTCCCGCGCTGCTGCGTTGCAGTGCATGGGCAAGGGGAGGTTTTGATCTGGTGAAATCCCAGGGTCAAAAAAATCTGTGCGGGAAAAGCAGCAGCATGGCACCTGTGGTGGCAATGCATGCCACCCAAAAACTGAAGCCTGGCAGGCTGGAGCCACGCTCTGGATACCAGGGTCCCAGCTGCAGGGCTGCCGTGGCCGCAGCTTCCCAGGACCCCAGGTAAGGCTGCTGGAGCCAGCAAAGTTGCTGATCCCAGCTTTCCCTACCCCACCCAGGGTAACCTGCCAGAGGGCACCTAGCACAGGCGTTCCCTCGGGGCAAGTAGCAGCAGCACAAGGTGTGCAGTTGCTTCTTGTCCCCAGGGAATCAAACGTCCTCACTTGTGTAGACACAGCCTCAGAGGACAAGGATCTGATCCTGAGCAGGTTTTTGACCTACTCTGTTTTTTGTTTTCATCCCAAAGAGTTGACATCCAACGCAAGCAGGCACATGTGGCCCCTCTCCATATTTTATTTATGGGTTCCATGCAGACATAAGTGCACCTGCTGATAATGTACTCAGAATAGGGAAACTATCATTACAAAGGATGAAAAGTGCCAGCTTGATTTAATGCGTTGCAATGCACGAACTGCAGCGGTAGTGACCCTCAGAAAGGACTGAAGTTGTCCTTTGGGAAGAATTGACTTCTTTACAAGAGGGTTCCACTGGAGCCGAGCAGCCAGAAACTTCCACTATTATAAATAGTTTATAGTTCTATTTGAAGTACAGCAGGGTCAAATAAATTCCACATGCTCTGTATGTGACTATGGCCATGCCAAATACTGACACAGCCTGTAACGGGAAGTAAACTTCAAAACATATCCTCTATTACCAACCATCTTATTCATAACAGAGTTGAATAATGGAGCATAAGTAGCTTTCCACATTTTCAAAATGTTAAGTGTTATTATTCAGGCCTTATGCTTTACCTAAAGGAGAGATCTTACCTGTTATAGGAAGTCATTAAAAAAAGAGCAATTTTGTTGCAAATGTTTTCTTATTCTTCCCTTCAAATTTGTATGCCATTTATTGATCCCTAATCCTATCAGACTTCAATCTATATTTTAAAACAAGAACAGATTATGTTTAAAGGTTGATGTGAATGAAATCGTTAGGTCCCTAAATACAAGCAAATGTTGACTTTGTGCAGTTCAGAGTGTGAACATTTATGCTCTATTATTCCCAGTATCACCCACGTAAAAATGACGGGGGAGGAGGAAGCCTTCCGCATTTGCCTATGAACATTTGACAGAACACATGATGAATTTTGAATTTCTCCACAGCCCCAGAGGTTTGAAACTGAATACAGTTACCCAAGGGAGAAAGTGGATTCTCTTCTTCCACCTATTTCTTAAGGGCAGTCAACACAGGTTTGCTTTTCACTGGGAGGCAGTGGTTGGGTCAGCAGAATGTGAATTTCCTTACTGATTTAGGCACATGCCTTAGAGTGAAGATTCCCCGAGTTCTCTTCCCAACTCTGTCAGCAATATGATGCATTACTTAGACAAGTCAGTTCACCTTTCCATGCACTGGCCTACACATGTATAAAATAGGTATTATCCTATTTACCTACTTCACAGAGGTATTGAGAACTTAATTAATTCTTATGAATCACTTAGATCTTCAGATGAAAGGTGTCATAAAATGCAAACTCTGATTATATAAGGTGTCTGTGAACCTGGTAACTAGGCAACCTGAAACAACAATACAGGCAGTTTACCCAAGTTTGGTTCTACTATGTTTAACCTGATGGCACAAGTTGCTAGTAAAATATAAACAGATACAATGTTAAAACAACAGTCTATTTTGGGGCATAAACAGAAGTAGTTTTGTAATTGCTTCCCTGAAAGCTGAAATGTTTTGCACTGTATATTTAGCATGCTTAAAATTTTCAAGGCACACTTTAACAGTTCTTTGTTTCATTTAACAAATGCTTTTCAACCTACTGAGATGGGAAACTTGAAAGTATTTTGAATCTCTTCTATCAAAGTCAGAAGGGAAGAGCTGTAAAAGCAGGAGTAGAACCATGCATGTGGAGGCTTTTTGATTTAAGGGAGTTGCTACAAACATCTAAAAATAATGTAGACTAATTATTTACATGTTTAACAGTTCTTACAGTTCATCATAGTTTGATAATGGAGGCCCAAAATATGCTCTTGATTGTACCAGTGTAAATCTGGAGTAGTTCCTTTGAAGTTAACTCCACCTGAGTCCGTGATGTAACTCAGTATTTCTAAAAGTGGAACCTGGACCAGATTTCCTAGAAGTGGGTTTGTTTCCCATTAAATTAATATTTCCTTCTGGATGTCATCCTGTAATAAATACACAATAATATCCTCACACTGCATTACAAATATCTGTTTGACCCTTTTCTTATGATTTAAACAAATATATAGTAAACATAGTCTGCCTTACATATTAAAATACTTCCACTACACAATACCTTCTGATTCATTATTATGTCCACCCTTCCATCTGAAGTCTGATAGTTTTTCCCCATGAGCATACTAATGTAATGTTCTTACCTCAGACAACTTAGAGCTTAATCCTACACTAAATATTGAAGTCTGTGGGAGTTTTGATGGACAAATAAAACAAAATTGGGTCCAAACTGTGGTCTGAATGTATTATCAGGTTTCAGATGCAGCAGCTTGCTTTGTTAGGAAAAGGAGGAATGCTATGGTGCTCTATTTACCTTATGCGTGTGTGTGTGCGTGCATGCGTGTGCACTAGTTCATTTACTGCTGACATTACTGGTTCCTCCCAGTTTGCATGGGTGAGTTTTGTTTGTTTTTTACTTCCTACGAAGCGACAAAAACCCTGTAATAAAATGTTGATGAGGTTAATTATCAAGACATCACAGGGAGAAAAAAAACACTTTCTGAGATCTGGATAATGTAGTGATAAAAGATATGCAATTAGAGCAATTATTGAATTCAGTAAATTTTTACATTTTTAAAGTTTTGGATTTAGAATTCTTTGTATTTTAATGGAAGAAGAAAGAGGG